ACTGCGGTGAAAATACGCTAAATAAACTCTGCCTTGACCTGAACTTAACGGTACCTTTTTTGACCAGGTTTTTTTTCATGACCTGTTGCCCTTTTTAAATACTATAAACACATTTTCCAATACAAGGCACTTCCATCAGGAATTTTATGCGCCACGTTTAATGATGAAAAGTTAACAAACAGAAAAAACGAGATAGGGATCGAAAACCGCCGACTTATCGATCTAGCGGCGTGTATCCTTCACTCTGACTCAATAGCGACACAGCGTGTCCCATCACTAATTAATTATCAACTCGCTAATTATACGACATAATTTATCCAAAATTGATAGGCTTCTGATCCGAGGTATGATGAATGCACGTGCAAAATTTGAAGCAGAATCAACCTCGCTTTCTTGAGATATCGCGTGCACAGACAGACAAAAAAATACCTATCAACATACTTACCGATCGAGATCGCTAAGTAAAAAATGTATCACTGTGTAAGATTGGTCATCGCGAACAGTACAGTATATAGTGCAGTTACATGCAGTAACTTAAGATGGCCGAAGGCCAAGTTTAAAACCTCTGGCTTTGAGGTTAATATAGCCATGATTCCATACCCGTTCCGCGAGATTCGTTTTACATTTTATGACTGCAAAGCTATTAAACTTCCCACTCGCCATAAAATTTGTCCTCGAGCGGATGTGGCTTTGTCCCGACTTTGAAGCCGTGTTTTTACGAACTATTCGGCGTTGCGCGCTCGGTCATCACCCCACTGTGTGACTCCCAAGAAGTTCAAATTTAAGTTCCGTCTTTGAAGGCATGTAAGGCCTCAATGTGCCTGTGGCCTGCCGACTAAATAAAGGTAAGACTTATAGAATATAAACATATTTTCCGGGCCATTGGGATGCAACTGGGACTCGATTTACTGAAGAAAAACAATTCGTTTGTGAAAATACTTATTTAACGGTATTTTTTGTTCTAATAAACGGAGGCCGCTAGCAAAGGCATTTTACCATCGGCTGATTAATTTAATGTAAATTGGCTAGCATTTCTTTAGTTGCAATGCATTTATTGTTTTGCTTTCGTTTGTTCGCTTTTTGTTATTAAACCCGACGCATGGAATACACGATGCAAACGTTAAAAGCATAATTAGATAATTTTATAGAAGAGCAGTCGGCACTAAGTTTGAGAGTCGCTGGAATGGACACAAATTACAAAATTATGAAAAACCTCTTTCACACAGTTACGGGGAAAATTTATCTTTTGCACACCACTAATACAAAAATGTGAGATTTAAGATGAACAACCCAGCCACGTTAAAATAACAAACGAGAATATCGGTCAGGGACCGAAGACTTATCGATCGAAAGTTAGGGGATCCCCCAAAACAGCGCTCTTACTTCATAGTGACACCTTGTGTCTCATCACTAATTAATTAATAACTCGCTAAATATACGACATAATTCATCCAAAATCAATAGGCTTCTGGTCCGACATATGATGAATGCACATGCAAAATTTGGAGCAGATCCAAATCGCTTTCGTGAGATATCGCGTGCATCTAACAGACAGACAGTCGGACAGACAAATACCTATCAACATACTTACCGATTAAAATCGATAAGTAACCAGTAATTATGTAGTCAGGTTATAGAAATGATTCAAAAATTTGAATTTACAGCGCAATCTGCATTTTTGAACCAAACCCCTAACTGAATAATCACAAATTTTCTTATTACTTATCGATCTTGATCGGTAAGTATGTTGATAGGTATTTGTCTGCCTGTATGTCTGTGTGTTTGATGCACGCGATATCTCACGAAAGCGAGGTTCAATCTGCTCCAAATTTTGCATGTGCATTCATCATAGTTCGGATCAGAAGCCTATTGATTTTAGATGGATTATGTCGTATAATTAGCGAGTTATTAATTAATTAGTGATGGGACACACGGTGTCACTATGGAGTAGGGCCACTGTTTTGGGGGATCCCCTGACCTTCGATCGATAAGTCTTCGGTTTCCAACCGAATTCTAGTTTTGAGCATTGATGAAATGTTTTATCTAAATTTTTAACTGTTCCAATATTTTAAATATCCCAAGTTTTACTATGCGAATTTGTCGAAATTTAAACGAGAAAATGAAAGGTTGAAGACTTGTATTTCAACATTAATAAAACAAATTACATTTTGTCAAATTAAGCAGAAACAATACTCTCCTAATATTTGCATACCACATATGAAATTCTCCCATTATAGGATTAAAATTTCATCATTTCATCTGCCAATTTTCGCGAGATATTTTGACTTTTTGCCAAATAAGAAAGCTGATTAAAAGGGTTACTGCACTAAACATGGCACTAATATAAAGCGCGTCTCGTAGACGCGCTTTATATTAGTGCCATGCTTGGTATATGTTGTAAAATTTTTGGAACCGAAATGTTTTTGTGGTCTTAGATAAAAGCCTTCTAAATCCTTTAATTTGTCGAAGGACGAAGCTTTTAGTGTAGAACATACACCGATTACTAATACTCCTCTGCTTTTACTGGAATTTGAAATTAAAATTGAAAATATTTTGTTACTCCGAGTTGAAGTTGCTTGTAACTTACTGTGAAATCACTTTAAATTACCGCAGAAAAGTAGTAATTTAAAAATACCGGTAAAAATAACTGTGATTTTATATCAATATGATTTTTAGCAATTCATTCATATTATATTCATGCCAATAGATCTCCACCGACAAGACCATTCAAATGGCGATTGGGATCATATGTCTATACCTAACCTACTGTCTGTATAGCACAACAGCACTGTATGGAGTAGATATATTCATTCATTTTCCTAACCTGCTGTCCGTATGGCAGCACAACAGCTCTGTACGGAGGAGGCCGTTCATATAATGATTGGACTGGGAACATAATATCCATTGCTACCGTATTCCTAGTTCTATTTCCCCTAGGTTACGAAATATAGTTCATGGCACCGCATAGTCTGGCCCGGTATGTATATTCGGAACTGACTACCGCACTACAACACACGAGATGCGGATGGCAAATAACTCTGTCAAAAAGCAAATATTGCTCACTATAATGCTATTAAAAATTTACAAAAATATGAGTTTTATTTCACAGTAATTCATGAGACCCTTCAATAATATCATTTTAGTTTTGATTATGATCGTACAAGTAAGGGCCGTAGTTAAAGTACGTGCTTTATCACTGGGATATGTGCGATGTTTTAGTGATCATGTTTAAAAAATGATTGACTATTGTGTACTCCTGTAGTGTGTGTACCTGGTTAGGGTTAGGCCCTAATTTTATTCCGAGTTTCCTTTTTTTAGTTCTATTACAAGTTTGGGGACTGTCTGTGTTAGCCAAGTGAATATACCCCATATGTTTCAGTCCCTTTACACAACTTGATGTAAAGTAGGCGAACAAAATTAGTTAGCTGCATATTGGTACACATACTTCTGGAGCGCCTTTTTATGAGCAAAGCGAGTAAATATTGGGTTTTACCGCCGAGCACGTTTGACGCTACAGCTGGCACGATTGCGTTCTTTTGCGACACTGTTTGATTTCATAAACATGGTTGCTAGGTTTAGGTATATTTAATACAAATGACGAATAATGGTGGATGGCTGATAGTGTGTCTGTGGACGGTATTCCAGTTTAATTAATAAAAAAAAAAACAGTATTGAATAATGTTCATGCCGTATCGTGACTCGAAAAATTTACTTTTAGGTGCTAACAAATTACAGTGTTGTCAAGTAGTGTGTCTTTGGGCGGTATTCTACGTTCAATTAATATCAAACAATATTAAATAATGATGACCCCCAAACAAATCCCCTTTGACGAGCTTTGGCGCGTTTTTTTTTTGGGGGGCTTTGTACAAAAGATTCAATAATTTTTTTCGGCTGTAACGAGCACATTATTTATAATATATTTCATAAGTTCATCAAGATTCGACAAAATATCCCTATCGTATAATAATCTATTTGAGCTATAGAAATTTGTACATATTTACTTGAACTTTGGCTGTTGGTATAAATATTACGGTCATATTTCCGTCGGAGAATTTTTGCTACACTGCGTTCAATAAAGCCGCATTTTTTGCATTTCAACATTGGAATATTGACAGTTGCTACGTAATTTAATGTAAACATGCGCAAAGTCCTATTTCTTAGAGGACTGAAATTAAATCATTCTGGTTAGGCTTTGCCTAATCAATTCATTAGACCCTGGGAGAGATGGTTGTTATGGGATTTTTATCTGGCTATGTCGAACTTCCATTAAACTTTGGGTACTTTTCCCGCCTTCAACCTATATTTACCAGGTATGTTACATTTAATAGTGTTTACACACGTTTCATGAGCAGATTTGTGAGAGTTTTTCAATTTAATTTGATATTTAATATTTGCATTGACTGTATACTTACCTACACGAGTTCTGTAAATGAACTTCAGTTCATAATAATTCTTATGCAACCAGTGCAACTGAATGAGCATTTGATAGGACGCGATGCAGAAACTTCCAAATTTAAAACTTTCTGGTTTATAAACACTTGGTGTTTTAGCGGCCGGCTCTAACTTTTCTCAATTTCACCATCGTATTTCCATATTTCAGTTTCAGTGGCGCTGTGGAATCTTTTGTACAAAGGCCTCGCCAACGCTAAAAATAAGAAAATTTCTAATTATCAACTTAGAGTTTGGAAATGCAGTTTGCGCTGAAAATTCAAATATTTAAATCCTTCTTAACCCTAGCTGGATAATTACTATTTTGTCATTTCGAAACATGGCGGAGTGTTTATTTCAAATATCACATCTCTGCATCAGTAGAAGGGGCTTTGTACAAAAGATCCACACTGTGTCTTTCAGTGGCGCTTGTAGCTTTACTCTTTACTTTATTGAGTCTTCTTTACCTCAGCGAGAGTGTCTCTCGCCCTAAGTTATTGCTTATTGAGAGCCTTGTTCTGAGCGATAATTCGACTATTCCTCATCATAATTATCTTTCATTTTACAGATTGCTAGTTTATTTTAGCGCTGCTAGTTTGCGCCAGTTGGTTCAAATCAAGAATTTTATTTTCTGACGTAACGAGACAAGTTGCGGAAAGCAACGCTAAAAGACAAAAACTTCGGACGAAAATCGGAAATTAACTGTTTGAACCATTTTGGTTGGAAACAATTTGGAATTTAACTCGGACCTTTACAACTAAGAAGATTTTTTTATCGGAGCAACTTTCTCATTTGGCCGGATATACAGTTAATCCGGGCCGCTAAGTAGGCTACGATTTCGGACGATAATTTTGAACTACAAAAGGAATACTATTTTACACCAATACAAACTTTAAAACCCTATTTTGGACGCTAAAAGAGAGTTTTCAAACGCTTGGGAGTATGCAAGCTTATCTATTGGAATAGAGGACGTAGCGAACGATACATCTCACCATAAAGCACAATGTCCGAAATTACCAAGTATATATTCTATCTGCTCGTCCTCATAGCAATTGCAACGTCTGTACAAGGTAAGTTCTTCATGAAGTATTTTCTATTTATTTTACGAGATATTTTTCTCAAAATGAGGTCATGCGCACAAATCCCGAGCCACTAATTTCAAAATGTGGGATTTAAGAAAAACACCACCCTCGGACGTTTTAAAATAACAAATTAGTAATTATACAGTTGGGGTGAATCAGGGTCAGGGTTAGAAAGGATTTGAAAAAAATGAACTTCCACCGGAATCTGCATACCGAACACTAATGTTTGAGCGTTGGCCGGGGCTTTGTACAAAAGTTCCAAGAAATGTTCCAGTGTCCTGAAAATATAGTTTTATGTTTGGGGACACAATTTGCCCAAATTTTTGTGGTTCGACAATTGTCACCGCCGCCATGCAACGACGCGATCATGAATAGTCTTCAGTAGTAGGCCAGGTGGTTTACCACAAGAATCATTGTTGTATAACAATCCATCAATGTGGTTGTGATATCATAAACGTAATCGGCATTCCATCTTATGTTTGCACAAAGGGAGTTTCATGTGTGTCTAAAAATCGTTAAGGATTTGGTTTTTGCTGTAATTTTAAGCTTCAAAAATCTCCAAAAGTCCCAATTTTATGAAATTACTATGCCACGCCCATGTATGTTTTATCCAATCATGAACGAATCAATTTATCATTAAATTACTACTGATTTGTTACGAAATTGCTTTTGAGACAAGAAGATAATTTGCGTCATTACATCCAATTGTGGTGCGTCGTAGTCACGTACAGTTCTTTACTTTGCGTAATTGAATAACGCACATCGTACGTTATATTGACGTAAGCATACCATCGTCGTCAGTGATCATTTGAAACACTAGAGGTATGAAAATCATTGCTCAAAAGTATTCTAACATCAAAGAATTCACGCCGCGGGAATAACAAGTTTTGCTTTGGGGCAAAATATATATAGATCGGAGTTTAATGGCGTTATTCGGGCATTTCGATTCGAACAAAGGCAATATACAAGCAGCCATTGATGTCTGAGGATATGTAATAAGCCACTATCATCGAGGACCGGAGTCTCTTCAGTGGGAGAGGCCAATACTCACCGCATTAACTATGACGCACTAAAATGGGCGCGTGTTCACTAAACGCCGAAAGTACTTCTAATTGGCGTGGCACAAACATTTTTGCATATGTTATTCCTTACTCCCACCGGGTTACGTAATTCAAAAATTACGCCACTGCGACGTCACAATCACGTCATAGAGCTTGCTAAAAGAAATGTACGATCACCCGAAAAGGCATCTCCGCCGACGATAACGAACTCGCTAACGCCAGCGATCTTTCATAGATCGGGATCGTTACGACAACGACCAGGTAGGGGTTAGGCAATAATTTCAGGTACAAATACTACGGGAGTCACTTGGCTAGTCTCCGAGCTCGTAATAGAACTAAAATAAGGAAATTTAGAATAAAATTATGGCCTAACCTGGTACATATACTACGATCCGGTGTCCGCCATCTTGGTTCACATACTTCGGGAGTACCGATTATCTTATAAAAACCGACTGAACATAACACGTGACCTCATCCCGATCTCATCGCGGACATAAGTCAACTCACTAACTTGTTTGCTGAGGTTCTCGTTCTATTTTTAGTTAAAACAGATTTACTGTTTACTTTGCTTTGATGTCTTCTGAGCGAGAATTTCCGTATTCCGGGTTGAAAGTTCACGCTGGGGTCGTGGAACTCAAAAAATTTACAAAAATCGTCTTCGAATACGTGGAGTCGGACTTAAGGGCACAGCGCGATAAATGAAAATAAGCCTGTCATCCCCAAAATAGTAGATGCTTATACGGAACATTTTTCGAATAAAGAGATGAAAACGACGCACAGGCCAACGCCTTATGAAAATGTCACCGCAGTTGGTTATCAAGGATGGACCATTACTATTTATTTTGCTAACTCATCAAAAATGTATTTGGGTTGTGATAGATTTATAGGTCATGGGCGATAAAAAGTTATAAATAGACGTCCGAAGTCGTATAGTATAGAAAGGACAATATTGAATTTGCCTATTGTACGTTTGTAACTAAATTATACAGACTTCCTAGCACCTTAAACAATATTTTTAATTTAGTCTGGACACATTTGAACTTATTAATAAAAGAACGAGAATATCAAGTCGGTGACCGAAGCCTTATCGATCGAAACTGCGGTTTCGAATCATGATTCTATAGTGACACCGCGTGTCCTATCACTAATTAAATAATAACTCGCTAATTATACGACATAATTCATCCAAAATCAATAGGCTTCTAGTCCAAGATATGATGAATGCACAGGAACTCGCCTTCGTGAGATATCGCGTTCATCTAACAGACAAACAAATAGACAGACAGACAGACAAATACCTATCAACATACTTACCGATCTTAAGATCGATAAGTAACAAGTCTTCGCATTAACTTGATTGCACTTGATTGGCAGTTTTCGCGTAGCAGGTTTAAAATCAGACTTGCTGCCCAATTGCCCTCTATGTATGTGCCATTTTAAATGTCGATTGGGACTACGCATTAATCTCTAACTTGCTGTCTATATGGTAGCCCAATAGCATTGCATGAAGAATGCCATTTAAATGGCGATTGGGGTCATATATCCATCCCTAACCTTCTGCCTAATAGCCCTGTATGGGGGAGGGGGGGGGGGCATTCAAATGGCGATTAAAACCATATATTTATCCCTCTACCTAGCATTATGCGTCTGAACGCGCCTTTCAAAAATAAGTTATTGAGCAAATTAAATCTGTGGGGGTAACTGACTACTTGACCAGGGCTTTGCTTAGAGCAAACAACGCAAATTTTTCACTTTATAATTATTTCGGTTGAACTTTCCGGGTGAGTAAAGGAAAAAATGAACGAATGCATCAAAGTCGGTGAAGACGTCGGTATTCTTTGATCTTTGTTTTTTTGTTTGTTGCGTCATATCGATCGTAATTGTTCAGTCACAAACAAAACTTCTGCGTTTCCGAGTTCCCAATTCGTTTTGAAGTTCTCACTTATGTGGCGATTTAGTCATATCAACCATGGTCCAATGAAAGGTCTCTTCAAAACTTTGTTATTATATTTTTATTAACAATGAAATTCTATAATTTTAGTTTTTGACTGAATTCGTGAACTGTTTGCCAAACAAAAGACAAAATACACTTTCGTCCGGTTAGCGGACTTTGATGTCTGTCTGACTCAGCTGCGACCAATTATACTAATTTAAAACCTCTGGATGAATAACCCCGGAAAAGGGTCAAATGACGTCATAATTGAGTAAATGAATATTTTCCCGCCCTTTCTCAAATTTTTTATTTTTAAAATTTAAATTTTTATATTTTTTTTCGGCTATATTCCAAAATTTTGAATATAAAATCTGAAAATTTGGAGCAAAACCCCGAGAAAGATGTGAATTGCAGTTTGCAAAATTTAATTTTGTTTTAATTCCCCACAACTCTTTTATTTTTTCAATAGACCTGTTGTTCTTAACCTGTCTTAGTACGTTTCATCCACCCTTATTTCTCTCTCGCAAAAACTTTGTTCTTGCTCTCTCGCAAAGCTGGTATCCCGATATTTTACCCGCCTTATATTCCGCGGTAAACGTTAATCACCTATTTCACACCCTAGAAACTGTCAGAATCACGTTTTCTATTCAAATGGTAGCAGCTAAGTCAACGTTTTCCTAACGAATATGTATAGACTAAATCTGGGTTGGGCACTGGGGCGGTACGGTAGGCCGGTACGAAGCTATTGTCCTATGTTAGCACACGTGGTTCTCTAACCACAAATATTTTGAATTGTCGTGTTATCAATACCTAAGTCGTTCAAAACATGTTGTTCGCGATGTCCATTAGGTGACTATTTTAGTCAAGTTATTAATTCGCGCAAATTGTCTGTGCGATATCCACTGATGCGTCTGTATTTCGGAATTACTGTATTTATTCCGGTCCGGCCTATGTGTAGTATGTGTAGGTCAGGATTAGGCCATAATTTTATTCCAATTTTTCTTATTTTAGTTCTATTTCGAGTTCAGGGACTGTCTGTGTTAGCCAAGTGAATATTCCTCTACCCATAGGTTTCAGTCCCATCACACAACTTGATGTAAAGTAGGCTAACAAAATTAGTTACCTCCATACTTGTACACACACTTCTGGAGCGCCCTGTTTTTTGTGGTCACCCTGTGAATACTCACGAATTGTCCATAATACCACTACAAGCACGTTCGACGCTTCTGAAACGTGCACTACGTAACCAAAACTGTATTGTTTTTAAGCCACTCCTAACCCACACACACAGTAGCAGATGACGTCTGGTTTCCTCACGTTGGGGGCGGGGTAATCCATCATTCAAATTGATTGACGTTTTGTGTATTTAATTCTATTTTTAGAACCTGGCTACATTGTGGAATTATTGCCGACCATTTTTGAAATGAACCATTCGTTTGCTCTGGCCCGTATGCAGTGGTCCCCAACCTTTTTTGATGCCTATGGACTAAATTCCGGGCGCTTTCGGTCATGTCAGAATCAAAATTTCCCAAACTTAAGCTTGCATATTTTCGACTTTTATTTTTTCATAATTGCGCCCCTTGCGTGCATTTGTCGTAACTTGCCTTCGTGATAACAGGAAATCGCCCGTCTGAAACAGAGTCCGCTTGTCTCGTTTTTTAGCTTGATTTGGCATCGCAAAATTGCAATATCGTTCCTTATAATCAGATTTTAGCGTTTTATAGTATATATCTGCCAAACTATGATTAACTAGAGGTATTCTCGACTGAAATTTAAACGAAAATTTTAAATTTTACTCAAAATACGATAAATTTACTTTTTTCCTGATAGTAAACTTTTATACCTGTCGCATTTTCTTGCAAACAATGCTCACTGTCCGAGTGTACTCACAACAAACAAACCACCGACACTGGACAATTCTCAATACATGTACAACCAATATCGGACAATGGTCAGCTGTGGGTGCCCACGATTTTGGAAACACAAGTTACCTTTGTTGAACAAGCGATTTGAAATTCCTGACGTTCTGTGTCTTTTTATGCCGGGTTTTTCTCTAAGCAAGGGTCCTGAGCCAATATACTTCGGGAGCGCCCTAGGTTTCTCTCACGGATCCCTGGCGCTCTATATGGAGCACTTTGCGTACCTATGGCACCTTTGCTAACCTGTCTTAGATATCATAGAGTGCTTATACAAAATCTTATTCAGTGTTAGCATCTTTTATAAAAGGCAACGTGAATACAACAAATAATCGTTTTAACATATTTCTCCCGGTATATCAATAACATCACGTGTTATTAGGACATAAATCCATGATGGTAGGCGAACAAGCCGCCTTTGTTTTTATAGAAATACTTGGAATTCCTGACACGTTTCGCACTTCAAGACTTTAGCATGTATTGGTGTGTTACAGAAGTTATCATTTTCCAGTATGCGTGCCCCCTTACAAAGGCTCTCAATATTCGTGGCCCTTGTGCTTGTACGAAAAAAATAGTTTTGCAATAAATTTGTTTCAGCCATTTATTTTATACGCCACGATACACGATTTCATATGAATTACTCCGATTGAATATAGTCATCGCGAATGATTCGTACTAATAGTCTTTGCTTGTGGCCCCCTTAGGATCACTCAATGGCCCTCTAAGAGGGTCTGGGGCCAGTTTGAAAAACCCCAGTGTGTTGTACACGAATTGGTTTGTTTAAAATCTTTAGAACAAGCGTTTGAGCCGAGATACATTTAACACATTGATTCCGGGTCAAATCAAATTTTCGTTAACTTCCGGGTTCAAATTAATTTGTTATTCAAACTCAACACTACACATCTAACCACAATTTAAATTATTAATTTATCTTCCTTTTTTCAGGTGAATGCATAGAAGACGGGACAAGACATAAGGTATGGTTACTTATTTTATTCGTAAGGCATGGATTACATGAACGCTTCGTCTCAAGTTTACCAAGAACATCTCAGAAAATGTTAATTATTTCGCTATAAAATGAATTTCGTAGAATTTGAATATAGCAGGTTAAAGACTAAGTTTGGTTCAAAATCCGGTAACATTTGACCAAATAAGACGTGTAAAAAGAGATCAATTTTTCGTACGATATTTATATCATATCTGATATGTCGCAAATTAATGTTTAAAGTTCTCAGATAGTTTGACAGACAGACAGCTTGCTTGGATGAAATATGTGTTGTGTGTCAGGAAATTTTTTATACTCTATGATAAGATTTTGCATGACAACCAATATGACGTACCAGTAATTGATATTTATGATGTGTAGGATTTATCACATTGTGGGTTTTGGATATTATCCGTTTATATATTTTGCTTACAATTTAAAGTGTTAAGTGTCAGGCTGTCTGTCAATGTATGTCTCTCGGATTTATTCTTCCATTGAGTTGGAATCAGGCAGAATTGCTCAGTCAGATGTTTTTTATCATTCATAAAAAAATATACATCTTACTGGTATGCTTATAGTATTATTAAGATTAATAACAGGCAGAGAGGAAACATTTTACTGGATCACCAATTCAAGCCTTATTGTTTATGTACACTTGTCTGCATTTGGAGTCAAACATTGTAACTCCTAGCCACTAACAATAGCTCTCAATTTTTGTGTAAGCAGATATTCTGAATTCTGGGCAGGATTCGAGTGCATTTTTATAGAAAAAAATTTGAAGGAGAAATAACTTTTAGTCTTTTTGTTGTTGATTCTTTTTGATTTCAGCTTCAAAGCCTTGATTTCAAGTGCTTCATCTCAAATTTGCGACAGAAGGTGTCATTTTTCAGTAAAATTGCATTTTACAAATGTTTTGTCGAAAATTTGAAGTGCGGGGATTAAATTTTGGGTTGAATTAAAAACCATGGCGCATGTTGAGCGTCAATTTGTGACAAGATTGTCTTAGTGGGTTAAAAGCTTCCAAAATGCAAGTTTTTTTGTATTTATTTAAAAACAAATTTTATTGGAGTCAAGGTCACACAGAGAACCTCAAGGTCAAACCGACCGTATACTCATAACGTAACCAAAATATTTGCTTCTAACTGAATGAATACATTTACTAGAGCTTCTTAAATAAATTAAAATCCAATGGCTAACTTGATAATTATATATAAACATATTGCTAATCATGGCGGAGGCATGGACACCTGACTTTCGTACTGGTAAGAGAAATAAAGTACCGGTCACACGAAAGATTTTTACGCAAATTACTCTAGTCTCTAATCAATCGAGCGTGGAGGCTTGTATACCGAGCCCTCTTCTGAGTAAAATTGTGAAATATGCCACAAAAACGCCAGGTAGTACAAAGATGTATTAATTCTCGTAGTTTTAGCATTTACAAGATGTAATATTAATTACATATATTTTGGCATTACTGTAAAATTCTAGATATTTTCCTTAATTTTCAAAAGTGAGTCTGGCTCTGGTTTCAGAAGGTGGTTAAGGGTTGATGGTGTGCGGTATCGGGTTCACAGTAATAGTCACATTACGACCACAGAATAGGTAATTAGTTAGCGACTTGTAATATTATAGTGTTTTTAAAACGTTGGGGTTTTCTCCCATCAAAGTGGAGTTTGAGGATTTTTTATTATTATTTTTGTACTTTGAGTCCTTACCTATTGTATGATTAAACAAGGCAAAGGCGAGATAATAAAGAATATACATTGCCTTTCATGGATAATGCGTTATTATTATTTAATGGGGCTTATAACGTTGTTTTATGTACCAAGACTATGATATTTCTCGTTATATGCTCAAATGCTTCTACCCGTTATGAGGACGTATTCTATTACTAAATATATAATTCTGGGATTTGTTACCAAATTGATAATATTTACTATTTATTCAGTTCTTTGCAATGATTAGTTAAAAATGATCTTGAGACGTCACAGCAGGGACAATATACCATAAAATGATTGACGGTTTTTCAACAAGTGTACATCATACGCGCCCGACCTGACGATACTTACTGCGATGTAACCGAACAGAGAGGACGACTCTCCGGACTGTCACAATAACAACTGTAACTTTTCCTTTTTTCACGACGAACGTACACGCCATATATTGTAGTCGTTTGTGCAATACTATACTCATCTCGACGCAATATGGGATCTCACAATTCTCACACAACGAACTCATAAGTTTCCCATCGAACCCACACGCCATATAGCGTGATGCATTGTCAAGGTTGAAATGCGACACAGATCAGATTCCAACTTTCAACACTGCGGTTTCGAAAACATCAAATCGTTCTGTCATGGAAAGATGAAAAATGCGCTATTCGTTTTTCTGTAAAATAAACTTGAATTTAGCTGTAATAAAACATTCGTTTAACGTTTAAAAGCAAACCAGAACATATCATCCCAGTTCTATCGTATCAGCTTTGCCCAAAAATGAGTTTCCTTCACTTCTGAGTGAGTGCTTATTACATTACTCCGAGATGAGCCTCCTCCACTTTTAAGTGAGTGAACGCCAGTAACTTCGCTCAGAGATAAGTCTCATTTAGTTATAAGTGATTTTTAAAAACAATGTATCGGTTTATTGCCAATTTTATTACTCCTGTAGTATGCGAACCAAAATGGCGGACAGCGAAATGTAGTACGTGTACCAGGTTAGGGTAAGGCCATAATTTTATTCAAATTTTCCTTATTTTAGTTCTATAGACTACCCAATTGATTAGCCCGTAGTATTTGTACCTAAAATTATGTCACATTCCGGTGTTCACCATCTTGGTTCGCATATTACAGGAGTACCAAAAATATAAACTCAAATCAGGGTCACAGTCACCCACATCTCACGACTCTGGGTGAGAACCGAAGTCATGGAAAAATGAAATTTCAATGACCTTGTAATATTATACGCTTGTGAAATATTTTGTGGCTTTTTGTTTCTCATAAAAATGACAGCTATGCTACAGAACTGTTGTCAGTGAAACCGCAGAAAAAAATACGAATAGAATTCATAACCATAACATTAAATATAAAATGCCCAAGTTTTCAATGAAGCATCAATCAGGTGTGTGACATAGACGAAATGTCGAAATGTCGATGATAAACGAAGTATTGGCCCGACGAAGGTAATACAGTAGGCTAAAATTTCGACTGACACCGACCTCATTTGAAACAAAACTAAAAAAAAAAACAAGTGTATCTCAACGTCCCCTTGAATTACTGAAAGAGAAGATGTGGGTCATACAGTATTGCCTTAATTAACTAGCCCTGTGGGTGCTTGCAAGTTCTCTATAGTCTATTTTCTTTTGAATGAATAGTTTGCCTCGTACTATTTTGTGTCGGCAATCGCTTATAGCCATCCATTAGTAGTATACCTGCTTTTACGTTACCTTACATCATCGAGCACATATAAAGACTTGCAACCTGGAGTACATGACTTGTTTACCCGCCCCTCGTCTCATATTGCAAGTGTGTAGGGGCAATGTTTTGCCACCACCCCCTTAGAAATGCATTTCCAGCTGTCAATTGCACTTTCTTAAATTAACAAACCTGCAACATGATCTTCTGTCGCGACATCACGTTTGGTGATTAATTCAGGGTGGTTTCAGTGACCACGGTTTTGGTTTACAGTGCGTGTGGTCGCGTTTAGACTAGGGTCACCATATTTGAAAACGCAAAATTCCGGACAGTGCATTACTATTTTCATGACCTCGTAGTAGAAAAAATATGCGCACGGTACGAAATAACAATGTTCTGTATTAGCAGTGCGCACAGTACGATAGCAGATACAGTAAAATTCCGGATTCCGGACTTTTGAGCATTTTTTAAATTCTTCCCGGACCCAAAATTTAACCCTACCCTAGTTTAGGCACCGGGTTTAGGCCTATGATGGTTTTGATAACTCATTGTTAAAAATTGATTGATTTCCTCTTCAACTAATGGACCAATCAGTTTCGGTCTTTTCTTTTTCCTTGATTGGTAATTTTCTTTGCTTTCTTCGACGGGCCAGATATTTCACCTGAAATTTTGATGTTTTATTTGAATTATGGGGATTGGGGGACGTCGTGCCTATATACAAGGTGGCCGAATAAAAACCAAAACCTAGGCCATTTCGAACATATTATGGAGAGAACATAACTTTTGTGTGAGGCGTCTCAGATTACTGAAATTTTGGGGTTCAATCATGCACAAACAGAAGCTGAACTTTTACATATAGTATACGTGAACAGGAAGATATTGAATGACAGGCATTAGCTGAAGGCGGGCGTAAACGAACCGATTCAAAATCAAATAATCGTTTCGTTTACGTTCGCTACTTGTATTTTGTATAAGTAATTGGAGCAATTTGGGGGTTGCGTTTTTTAAGCTATGATATGTCCTGGGTTCGAATAACTTTAACTATTAATACCAAATATCAAAGCAGCAACCACTATTCAGTTAATAAAATTGCAATAAAAAACGAATAGTTCGCAGAGACCATTGGTATCTTTCACTGAGCACTGGGGATCCGTATGAGCACTTTTAGAACCTATGTGCTGGAGAGAACTTTATTCGGCGCTCCTTAGTATTCGGACCAAGATGGCGCACAACCTGCTAACCCCAACCTGATACAAATACTATGTTCAGGTTGTACGCCATCTTGGTATGAATACTACAAGAGCACCCTTCTGTACAAAGCGTCCTAAATCACAGAAAATTTCCTTTGCATTCGAAGAAATTTTCGAATAATAATCTCTTGTTTTAGAATCAATGATGTGTCCTGGGTTCGAATAATCTCAACTAATATAACAAAATACCAAAGCAGCGACCACTATTTTTTCTATAATAAACACCGGTATTTCATTATAAGTGATGTCTACGTAGAATATAAAATTAAGTCCGGAATTTGTTCAACAACTGGCGTCTTTCAGCTTCTTCGTTTATTTACTCAGTTCGCCACAAG